AAATGTAGAAAATAGTAAAATAACCTAGGAGGAGTAAAAGTCTCTACAACTCCACAAATCATTGGTCCTCGGATCCGATAACATTTGCATTCATATCATCAGGTGTTTTTTGTGGTTTACTTCGGCAAGCATGCCAATATTCAATTTTGTTGGGGTTTTCAATAGTATAGTAGGAAAATACAAATGAATCACAATATTGACAAGTTTCATCTGAAAAGTGACCTGCATAATGTTTTGTAAGAGCTGCTTCGTTAACTTGAATGCGTGCATCGCAGTTCTTACAAACTCCCTCTACCTCATTTTTAAGCCTCAGCCTAGAGACCATGCGAGGGTGACCAACGTCCGTTACGCATCGACTATCATTATCCATGTCATCAGGGTTGAGATGATCACTGTCATCTTCAGACTTTTTATCATCAGTCAAAGCAGAGGCCATCCTAACCTCTCAGATGTTCAACAAACTACAATTGCAATACTGTAAAGAGATTCAAAATCTCAGTCACTGGTCTGGAACTATGGCAGCCTCTCAAACGAAGGTCATGCAATAAAAATCACTGGAGATCAATCCAAGTAAGAGTGTTTACATCTTGTCTTGTCTAACTCTTCCGGCCTTCCGTCTTCCCCCTAGTTCACTTGCAGGACGGCCTACTTTTTTGTTTTGTTTCTTCCGTCCGCGCGCTGCGCACTGCGGCTGCGTCGTTGATTCAGCACACGGGAGAAATGTCAACGCGCTAAACGATCAGTAGGGGCAGTTTGCAACAGTAAAAGTGTTACACTCATCTTCAACCACCGGTTCCCACATATATTTATTCAACAAGAAGAATCATTTACAGAAGCAGGTATGTTCATTAAAACAACCATTTCGAAGAGGCCGACGGATGGTAAAGGAAAGTGTTACTTGCATTTGAATCGCTAGGCAAAGACAACACTGCTACCAAAGAAAGGGCGCGGAAAATCAAATTGCTGATCAATCAACCTAAAATCTCAACGAGCCTAAATCTCCTTCCAATCTTGCTGAAATATAACTCCACAATCACTATCAACTAATGAGTCTTACAGAAGTTATAATTTCCCTTTTCCTGTTAAAACTTTTCTTTTAAATCTTTCTGTTTTTACATGCATCAACACAAAACTTTTTTCTTTAAAAAAGTTGGTCTTGAGAATCAGGTCTACAGAGTAAACAAGTAAATTGGAAGAAATAATTGGTACTTTTTGGACCGGGAGATTTTGTCTGAATAATGTGGAAACTTTTCAGCACTATCATAAGAAAGAAAAAGCTGAAACAATGTTTGTTTGATCTTGGTAAATATTTGTGGAAGGACAGTTAGGTAAACATGAAAAACATAATTATGAAAGGATTCAAGCTTCTTATTTGATTATTCGCTTCAACATATGTTTAATTGCAGCGCTATATATAGTATCATGGAAAGCAGGTCGTCTGTTTCTCACTAGTTATGAAGAAAGAGACATAATATTGATGATTAATTAACAAAAATTAAAATCACAGTAAACCTCCATGATATAATACTTCTTTCAAAAGTAGGTTCCAGCATGTCATAAACAAACAGGATTTTAAAAACAAACGGAATTGGGTCATACCTCTGTTACAATTCACAAATGTGTTTGGAAATAAAAATATATTGATTTTTAAATATATAAGCTGTAGGCTAACGGTATACAATTCCAACAAAATACAAATGAATCACATGAGGTAACATAACAATTAAATGAATAAAGGTATTTCAAGAACAAATGCACTGAGATAAAAAAAGACAAGCGTATCTCAAAGGTTTTGAATGCGACTTCGAGCACTTGCTGCATCTACCTCATTCAGGAATGTTGTTGAGTTGTGTATAGTAGTACCACCAAGAATTACTCGAATTCCAAGAGAAGATGTTTGATTTATTTGCTGTACTGAAAGAGCCTCTTCATATGTTGCACCACCAATTATGAAAACAATAACATCCTGGGGTCTGAAAAACAGGAAAGTGTTTAAATTCACATTTCTAAGTCTGAAAGTTTTTTCTAGTGATTTTAAGAGCTCACCGTTTTGTAGCAACATTGCTATTGTTACCCAAAAATGGAAACAATGATTCCTTTACTCTTCCTTTTGATAAATCTTCTAAGGTTTCCACTAGTAATGGCTTATGTTGAGTGTAAACATTCTCCACACCCCTCAAATCCTGCGAGAAAGGAATCAAGAAAAGAGAATTAAGAGAAACCTTTGAATTGGCGTAGATATGAAACCATGTTGTATGTCAGAATCATTAATCATTGCTACCTTAAAGAATCTTTTGGTAATTTGAACAACAGCTTCCTGATGGCCAAACAAATCACTCTGGCGTGCGTGTGCACCTCCATACTCAACCACGGTGCGGACCATCTAAATAAATAAATAGGCAATAAAAAGAAAATTCATTTCTGCAATCTGACGCAATCTGAATGGAAACTTACTTTCACTAATCTATCAGAAACTCCTTTTTTTTTCAGCAACTCTATCAGCCCAGAAGTATCATTATTGGAGTGATTTTCATAGCGCAATGCATAAAGCATAACCAATTTTGCTGCATCTTCGTGCCGAACCTTCTCATTCGCTATAAGCCTTCTCACATGCTGCAAAGTTCATAAAAGTTTAATAAGTAAACAGGAAGCATACAAAAAATAGTGAAAATCAATTAATTTTTTACCATGAAGCACTTGCCTGGAAATGTTGGGAGTGGGCCTCTTGACAGGCTAATTCTTGTTCTGTCTCCGATACTTCTAACAGATTATGTCGTTCCATCAATGAGGCCAGCTCACCAACAACAACAACGTGCTTTGACACAGTTCCAGACATTTTCTGGAACGAATAGTCATACATAAAGCATAGAAAACATAATATCGTATCATAAATAAAATAAGAAAGGTAAAAAGCCAAGATGATGTACTTTGAACTGGGGATAAGCTTCAACAAAATTTTTCATGTCCTGTATACTTTCAAGTTTGCGGTTGCTTTTAGACCTCTTTTGGAATTCATCCATGAGGTCTTTGATTGTTTGACCAATTTCACCAAAGTTTAAGTATAAATTCTGTGGAAGATAATGAAAGTAGGTTGACATACAGATCTTTCTTCTAAAAATTTCAGTAAATTATAAAGAAATACCTACATTTGCATAGAACTCATCCTGTTCAGCAGACAAGACTACCTCCTTCAGCTCTTTGGAGATACCTTGAACATGACCAAGGCTAACACGATTGTTATTAATTGTGAGCAGTTCATGAACCATAGCTTGATATGTCCACTAGAAATAAAATCTGTTATTGTTAGTGTACAGTAACTAAAGAGAGATCAAGAGTAGCATTTACATTGAACAGCATTATATCAGTACTTTCACACCTGATTCAGTAAAGGAGTCACTGGATCATCCCTCCGGTCTAAAATCAAAAGCAAGGGAGGAGGTCCAATTTGACGAAATTCAAACAGCTCTGACTCTTTGGATAACACTTGCTGAAAAGAATGGTATCAATAAACAGTAAAGTGTTATGTAATGTTAGATTTCAAAAAGTAAACAATCTTCACTAACCCGAATTGTTTCTGCTAGTCTTTTAGCCATTTTGGAATTATTTTGATAGCGAATAAAAGGATTTTTTTGAAGTGACAGCAAGACTGATGTCACACCTTGCACACAACGGGACAAAATGTCATGATCCCAACCATTGCCTGAAATTGGATAAGAATATAATCCAAATATTGAAGGGACATCATTTCTTCAAGCATTTAGAAAAAAATAAAAATAAATAAACAACAACATAATGCTTTTATGTGGTTACCTTGATAGCTAATGGGGATTCCCAAGGAAAATAAGTGTGGACCCATTGCAAGATAGTCTCCATAGAATTCTTGAATTTCTCTCACCACCTCCTGCTCATCTGCCTCAGCCAATGTTTTGATGTCAGCTTTAGGAGTGATGTTACTGAAATCTATAGGAACAATCAATGTCATTTAAATGTTTAACTCATCATTGATATTATAAGAATAAGTAAGAGAAACTTACAAATATAATAAGAACCATATCTGGGTCTGCGCAGTTCCATGGCCAGAGAATGGATATTCTCTTTTGAAGGTCTTAAAAATGCAATGCACTTTAAGTGTTTCATAGGCTCTGTGTTTCCTGCATCTATTCTCTCAAACAGATAAACTTCACGTTGTTGAATTTCTGATTGACCAAACACCATACTCACTATGCTAGTCTATGGGGTATTGAAAAACATAATTAATAATAATAATAGCAATTACATTTTCCTCCAAATATTTTTCTCCTCCTACTTACTGTTTCCTTGTCCATCAAAAGGACTTTCATGCCAGGTCCACTCTCATCTGTCATTTTGGTGATGTACATCTTTACAGCTAAGATGCAATTCATGGTGAATGAATGTGTGAAACCGCACCTAATAATGAATGGGAGGCGGTCAGATTTGTCAAAAGTTCGCTCGAAAAGCAAAAGAGCAGCTTAAAACAGAAACATTTCAGCTGTCAGAACGCAACCAAAACATAGAGACCTACAGGTTATAATGAGAACTCGAAGAATTAAATGAACATCTAGATTGAATCTCCGCAGCCCGATGTTTTTCAAGTGAAAATATAGTATATTATATGAATACTGGTAAAGTTAGAGAGTAAATAGTTCATCATGTCGTTGGCAAGAAGCAAAAACTTAACAGAAACGAAGCCCAGCTGTCGGCAAAGCTGTCTGCTGGAGTGCTGGGGGCGCAGGGGAGACAGCGGACCATAGTATGGCGTCATCAACAATAAGGGCTGCTCGATGGGCTGCCTATCTCGCGGGCGTTAGAGTGGGAACATATCGGAGTTGTACGCCGTGTAAGGGATAGAAAAAAAAAGTGTCGTAATAGTGACCTTTTGGAAAGCTGTCTGCAGGGGTGAACCGAGGAACGTTTCCAGGTAGGCAGCGCTGCCCGGGGAGTCGTTCCCCGGTACCCCCGGTGCCACCCCCCTACACTCCGATCGATTCCCTAATGATTCTAAGAAACCAAAAAATTGATGCTTGCTGATTTGATTGAAAACACGTTTGTATTTTTAGGACACAAATAAGCCGAATCCCTAATAATCAAAATCGGCTCCTCCCGTGAGCGGTATTTGATGTAATATGTTTCATTCCGGCGTATTAAGCAAATCATAAGCAGTGCATGTTGACAAGCGGTTCAGTTGAAGCTGCTACAACAGTGGTGTACCTGCATTCGGGGAACACGACTCTCATGTACACAAGTAGCTCCCTCTCTCAGGGCAAGGAGTATCGCGACGCTTCGACAGTCAGGCGTCGAGCAATACTCCTTGCTCGCACCAGCTTTATCTGGGGCTCCACTTCAGCTCAGCGGTCCGGCGGACTGGGGACTGGGGCTAGGCGACAGATACTTCAGATGCTTACTAGATGGCTGATTCACCCCGCGCACTTCCGCAGTTATGCTGGTCAGGTTCGATCGGCAAGCCGACACACACACACGCTTGCGTGCCTTACAAGATAACTAACGCCTATTAGATAGGCCACTCAGCGCACAGGCATCCTTGGCTGGTGGCCTACCTTGAACCCGGCAGGGGTCGGGGCAAGCTCGCGAAGGGAAACGGTGGAGGATACTGTCCGCAAGATAGATTGGGATGCCCGCAACGCACCACGACCTCACGCTGTGCGTAAAAACTTTAAAGTCGTCAGTACGTTTATGCTCGTGCAAAATGAAGAATATCGAGGACAACTATTACTACTGAGTCCTCTTCTTGTTTGTGCCTTACCAGTGGAGTACCGCTTAAATCGTCCCACTTTACAGTTCGCGGCGCTTCCGTGAAAAAAAAAACAAGAAAAAGGAAAAGAAAATTACCACCTATCGAGCCGCGGAGTCCTGACCTCACGATCACGGCAAGGCCCTTCAAAGGCAGCGCGCGGCCAGACAAATAGTGCAGACGCTA